CTCAGCAGCTTATGCCCAGCTAGAGGCTCCCTGCCCTGGCAGACCTGCTCTTTACCTCCAGCTCACACCCCCCTGGGCCCTCCACCTGCTGTTCCCTTTCTCGGCTCCATCCCCACCCACTCCTCCCCACAGGGTTTTGAGCAGAGTCTTTGTGTTCCCTCACCACAGGGTCATCTATCCAGGCTCCCTTTGCTCACCCCTTTCTTCTCCCCCCCCCAACCCCCAGTTTTGCTCCATTTCCTGGGCTCGCTTCCCCTCTGCTACCAGCCTGAGAGGGGCCCACTATCCCGACTGCGATTCCCGCACCTCTGCGGTCGCCCAGTCTCTCCGTGGCAACCACTTCGAGGTCCCATGCCCCGCCCCAGCTCTGCACGCGAGCGCCAGGATGCCCCTGTCTCTCTCCCCAACACCCACATCCAGGTACGGCCGCTCTGACCTCTCGAAAAACCCAGCAGTGCACAAAGCCCCAGCGTCCCCGGAGCCGCCGCACTGTCGGTAGTCGGGCATTTGCTTTCTGTCGTCCGGACCCCGGTTTTCTGTGAACCACCACCAGCCCCCAAACGGTCCCTCCGTTTCCTTAAAAGGAGGCCCTCACCCTACGAGGAAGCGCCTCATCCCAGGAAGGGGCGCTCGCCCTACAGGAGAGCCAATTACCTTGCAAGGAGTCTCCAGCCATGGAAAGGGGTCGTCACCAGGCCAGGAGGGGAGACCTGCGACCCCACGCCCGGAGCGAGGCGCTCTGTAAAGTCCCTCAACCTCTGCGGGCCTCCTCGGCTGCTCAGGGGCGACGCTCACCCACCGGGAGACTCCTGTGAGGTTCCGACTCCCCTCCGACCTCCCCCCGGGGGCCGCCCACACAATGGCTAAGCGACGGGAGAGTGGGTGCCCGGCCAGAGCGCCGCCAGACATCGGGCCATCGAAGCTCCACGGGCCCCACTGATCCCAATGCGCCTGTGCAGAGGCCCCTGAGGCCTGAGGGGGCCGCGGGAGGAGTAAGTCCCGGCGTGCACCGCGCTCACGCCGCGCCGGAAGGCCAAGCGCCTCTCGGCCCCGCCCCGGAAGATAAGGCGGCTGTCCGCTGCCGCTTGTCTTTTTCCGGCCGCGCTCCGCAGCAGGTAGGACGTGCGTGTGGCCTGGCGGCCCTCGCGGCATCCGTCGCCATCCGTCGCCATGAGGCCCGCTAGGGACCCCGCCGGGACTCCCGAAAGAGCTGGGGCGCACGGCCAGGGATGGGGGCGCGGAGGGGTGGGACCTGGAGGGAGGATGCTGGGGAGACGGGACCCTGAAGCCGGGGCGGCGGGGGTTCCCGGGCCGCTTGGGCGCTAACCGTGAGCCGCCTCCAGACCGCCATGGGCCGTGTCATCCGTGGGCAGAGAAAGGGCGCCGGCTCGGTGTTCCGCGCGCACGTGAAGCACCGCAAGGGCGCCGCGCGTCTGCGCGCCGTGGACTTCGCCGAGCGCCACGGCTACATCAAGGGTATCGTGAAGGTGCGGGCAGCCCCTCCGCGGGCGGGTGGGGACGCGGGGAGCCTCGCGGGGACCCGCCGCTCACGCGCGCTCGGCCCGCAGGACATCATCCACGACCCGGGCCGCGGCGCACCCCTCGCCAAGGTGGTCTTCCGGGATCCGTACCGGTTTAAGAAGCGGACGGAGCTGTTCATCGCCGCCGAGGGCATCCACACCGGCCAGTTCGTGTACTGCGGCAAGAAGGGTGGGCTTCGCGCCGGCCCGGGGGCGGCGGGGGGCGCGGGGGGCGCGGGGGCGGCCGCGGGCTGACGCCGACCGGCGGGCTTCTTGCAGCCCAGCTCAACATCGGCAACGTGCTCCCGGTGGGCACCATGCCCGAGGGCACCATCGTGTGCTGTCTGGAGGAGAAGCCCGGCGACCGGGGCAAGCTGGCCCGAGCCTCGGGGAACTATGCCACCGTCATCTCCCACAACCCGGAGACCAAGAAGACCCGCGTGAAGCTGCCCTCGGGCTCGAAGAAAGTCATTTCTTCAGCCAACAGAGCTGTGGTCGGTGAGTGGCGGCGGCTGCGGGGTGCTCGTCCGCGCGTCGCTCGCGCCCGGCCAACCGCGGGACCCGGCCAGGGTCTGTGCAGTGGGCGCGGCAGTCTCGGCCTCTTCACCGGCCGGGGCCGGTCGCGCAGGCCCGACTGTGCCGCGGGGTGACGGGGGCCTGCTGGGCGCCGCTCCCACCTCCGCCGGCTGGTGGTCCTCGCGGTCGTGAAGCGACCCAGCAAGTGTCTCAGGAAGGGTGAGACCTCGTTCGTGTTGCTCTTGCAGCAGCACCTTTGAAGTGTGGCAAACCAGGAACAACTTTTCTCGGGAAGGTTTTATTTTTTTTCTAAAGATTCGTTGCAGGGGCGCCTGGGTGGCCAGTTCTGCCTTTGGCTTAGGGGGTGATCCCAGGGTCCTGGGATCAAGCCCAGAGTCCAGCTCCCTGCTTAGCAGAAGCTCAGCTTCTCCCTTGGTATCCCGCCCCACCCCCACGTGCTCTCTGAGTGGAGTCTTACAGGTTGATTTGAGAAAGCGTGTGTGTGAGTTGGGTAGAGGGACCAAGTGTCCAAGCTGGCTCCCTGCTAGAGCCTACAACCCTGAGATCATCAGGGCCAAGAGCTGGATCCTCAACCGGCAGAGCCGCCAGGTAGCTGCCCCCCCCCCCAGAAGCATTCTTGAGCAGATGTTTACAAAACAAGCCGCACGGGTGGAGACCCGGGGCAGACTGAGTCCACCTTCCTCTTGGTGCGTGGAAGTTAGAGTGATGTGCTTGCCGAGATGGGGTGCAGTAGGGGGTCTTCCTGGAGAACCATAGGTGGAGGTAGCCATTGCCGATGGCGTGTGCAAGGGCCTGACTAGGCTGCCCAGCAGACTTGAACTTGGGCTCGTCTGCTAGGCTGCTTGGTGGTAACTGGGAAGAGGTTACAGAGATTCTGGGAGCCACGTGATGGTGTGTGAGTACAGTGAGAGGACGAGCCGTCCGGGGGTGGGGATGCTCTGCCTCATAGGGTCCTGAAGGTTTGGGAAGGTATGGTGCACTTTCCTGAGGTGCTTGAGCTTCCCAACAGGTGTGGTGGCCGGAGGTGGCCGCATTGACAAGCCCATTCTGAAGGCTGGCCGTGCCTACCACAAGTACAAGGCAAAGAGGAATTGCTGGCCACGTGTGCGGGGAGTGGCCATGAACGTGAGTAGTCCAGAAATGGGTGGTTGAGGCAGGGATTGGGAACTGGGAGGCTAAATGGACAAGTCCTTGCTTGGAGCATCTCCCTTCTGGGACAAAGGGTCTGTAGTGTGAGGCTTTGGGTTGTGGTTGTGGTTTGTGGGCACAGGTCACTTGATGCTGCTTTTAACCAGGTCCTGAGGTAGGTGGGTCCACACCCCTGTACTAATGCCACCTTTCTCTTTGCAGCCTGTGGAGCATCCTTTTGGAGGTGGCAACCACCAGCACATTGGCAAACCCTCTACTATCCGCAGAGATGCCCCTGCTGGCCGCAAAGTGGGTCTTATTGCTGCCCGCCGGACTGGGCGTCTGCGGGGAACCAAGACTGTGCAGGAGAAAGAGAACTAGGGTTGAGGGGCTCAATAAAGTGTGTCCTTCTGCCACTAAGTTGTGCTTGTCCATGGTTTCAGAGGGGAAGAATCCTCTGCAGGAGAACTGCCACGGAGCTTAAAGTTTCAGAAAGAGAAAGATGTATGGATGAACCAGCGAATAGTGAAAGTTTTGGAGAGAAGAGGTGGGGGTGCTGGGTATCTTCACACCTCGATGCCTGGAAAACACAGACACACACGCCACCAGGGCAGGGAACAGGATCTCACTCAAATCTGCGTGAACTTGAGCACTTGGGTGATCTCTCTGGCTGAGGGTGTGGATGCTTCGGGATGAGAGTGGTGCTCCTGAAGCCATGGGTTGGAGAGCGGGAAAGCTGTCTTGCAGTGGGAGAACCGGAATAGTCCGACTAGTTTCTCAATAAATGGACTTCCTGTTTTTGTCCCTGGACCTTGTCCCAAACTTTGACAGGCTCATCAAAACTGGCAGAACCAGGACAGATCTGTTGAGCCAGTGAGGCATAGAGATGGTAGTGGAGTTTCACTAGTGCCTCCGGACCAGGACGCTTGCTTCCCAGAGCCCCCTACCTTGGGGGTTCCCCTTGTGAGCCAATGCAGAAGCAGGGACAGCATGCCACTGCCTAGTCATGGGGACAAGGTTGGGGGACAGAGTAGGAAGCTGGCTGAGGTAGAATGCCCCTTGTATAGACTGCAGATGGAAAGGTGGACCCACAGTTCCAGGAGGCCACCTTACTGAGGCGGCCTTCCTGTGGCTGCTACAGGGCTCCTTGCTGTCAGGGTCAGCACTTGTCTCCAGCATAAACCTTGCCCCCAACTCTTGCCTTTTTGGTCTCCACTTGACCACCCACTGTAGCCTAAGTGGTGAAGAAAAGCAGGAGGGCCACATTTCCCTGTGAAGGAAGGAAAGCTGGGCTCGGTTCCCGGGACTGTAAGATAACGTGCTGTT